CTGTAAAACAAAACTCTATACTCACGTCGGAGTTATGGATCCTGACTGGAGAGCTTAAGACGTCTCGAAGATGGCAATGTTGGTGACCTTTCTGTTCGAAACATCGGCTTTTATGCACCTGCCCACTCCAACAGTTTGGCCGGTGACGCCCCTAGCAATCTTTGAGTTCACTCGCGTAATCTGTTTAATCCACGATGATTAAATAGCAGGAAGAAAGGAACACCAGTTTTGATTGAGATGTGACAACCGGCTGTCAAATAACGAAGGCGTGAGATCTGTGGACTTCTCTGTGTGTGTGTGTGTGTGTGTGTATACATTGAACACAAAAAGGGTGAGCCTATCTAGGCCCCCTCGTGATCGTCCTATTTACGAGGTAATCAACCTATCTATGCCTCTGCAATAATCCTATCTACGAGGTAGTGAACCTATCTACACCTCTCCCCGCTCATTTTTCTACGAGGTGGTGAACCTATCTACATCTCTCCGCGACCATCCTATCTACGATATGGTACACCTATCTAAACCTCTCTGCAATCTTCCCATCTACGATATGGTAAACCTATCTTCACATCTCTGCAATCTTCCCATCTACGATATTGTGAACCTATCTACACCTCTCCGCGATCATCCTATCTACAAGGTTGTAGACCTATCTACTTCTTCGCGATCATCCTATCTACGAGGTGGTAAACCCATCTAAACCTCTCCGCCATCATTTTTTATACGAGGTAGAGAACCTATCTACACCTCTCCGCGACCATCCTATCTACGATATGGTGAACCTATCTACACCTCTCTGCAGTCTTCCCATCTACGATATGATGAACCTATCTACACCTCTCTGCAATCTTCCCATCTACGATATGGTGAACCTATCTACTCCTCTCTGCAATCTTCCCATCTACGATATGGTGAACCTATCTACACCTCTCTGCAATCTTCCCGTCTACGATATGGTGAACCTATCTACGCCTCTCAGCGATCTTTCTTTCTACGAGGTGATGAACCTATCTACACTTCTCCGCGATCATTCTATCTACCAGGTGGTGAACCTATCTACACCTCTCCGCGACCATTCTATCTACGATATGGTGAACCTATCTACACTTCTCCGCAGTCTTCCCATCTACGATATGATGAACCTATCTACACCTATCTGCAATCTTCCCATCTACGATATGGTGAACCTATCTACACCTCTCTGCAATCTTTCCATCTACGATATGGTGAACCTATCTACGCCTCTCTGCAGTCTTCCCATCTACGATATGGTGAACCTATCTACGCCTCTCTGCAGTCTTCCCATCTACGATATGGTGAACCTATCTACGCCTCTCGGCGATCATCCTAGAAGCAGCTTGCCAACCGTAGGACCTGACCAGCATAGACAGGACTGCCGTTTTATTGAAGTCCGAGTGTATCTGCTCGAGTGGTGAGGAGCCAACAGTCTGCACACAAATAAGCCAGATCTGTAATACGAAACTGAACGCTAAAAAAAAAGACCTCAACAAAACTGAAGCTTTGATAGAGGTGGACGAACAACCAAGTTTTCTTTTTCTTTTTTTTTCTTCCAAACATTATTATTATTACTACTACCACTACTACTACTACTACTACTACTACTACTACTACTACTACTACTACTACTACTACTACTACTACTACTACTACTACTACGACTACTACTAATACTACTACTACTATTCTACTGATATCACTATTATTGCTGCTATCGTGCTGCTACTTCTGCTGCTGCTACTACAATTACTACTGCTGTATTACTCCTACACTGCACTGACTTCACTTCTGTTACTACTAAACTACTACTAAAACTTCTTCAATACTGTTACTGCTACTACTACCACTACTACTGCTACTATACTACTACTGTATTAATATATAACAAATACTTCACTACTACTATACTACTATTGTTACTGCTGCTACGACTGCTGCTACTACTACTGATACTAGTGCTTGCTACTACTACTATTACATTTGCTGCTGGTGCTGTTGCTGCTGCTGTTACTACTGCTGCTGCTGCCGCTGAGCCTGTCGCCACCACTGCTGCTCTGACTACTACTGCTGGAGCTACTACTACTGCTACTACCTTTATTGATGCTGTTGCTACCACAAAAACTACAACTAATACCCTTCTTCTTCTTCAGAGTTCGCCCTTAAAAGTGCGGTGATGCGTTTTATATTAGCGTCTCGCGGCAAAACACATTTATTTTCAGCATATGCTTAGATTGTAGTCTTTCACGACATGCTTATTAGAAGGCAGCGGGTCTCTAACTTGTCTCCACAAGTGTTTCCACGGAACCCACACGCGGGAAAACAGTTCCACTGGTGCGGGCTTTGTTTTCCGTGTGTGCCCTTCTACTTCGGCTGCCCATAGCCCTTACTGGTTTAGCCCAGGGCTGCCAATGGGATTTTTTTTTAAACCCAGCTTCGCTAAACAAAAAACACAAGCTATACATAGACAAAGAACCAAAAAAAA